CGACAAGGTTCTATACAGAAAGCGTTTCGATCAAGGAGCTCCCTGTTATCAGCTTGTTCTTCCAACCAACTTCAGGCAGCAGGCTCTTGAAAATCTTCATGATTCCCTTGGACATATGGGTGTTGATAGGACTTTGGACCTTGCCCGTGCTAGGTTCTTTTGGCCTCGTATGGGCCTGGACATCCATGAAAAGGTCAGGACGTGTGAAAGGTGTGTGCGAAGGAAGGCTCGAGCAGAGAAGAGTGCTCCGCTAGTTAACATTCAAACTAGCCGTCCATTAGAACTAGTCTGTATTGACTACCTTTCACTTGAGCCTGACGGAAAGGGGACAAAGAACATCCTGGTCGTAACTGACCATTTCACTAAATATGCTGTGGCGGTCCCCACAGCTGACCAAAAGTCAAAGACTGTGGCTAAAGCTCTCTGGAGTAATTTTTTCATTCATTATGGATTCCCTGAGCGGTTGCATAGTGACCAAGGTCGCGATTTTGAGTCTGCCTTAATTAAAGACCTATGCTCCCTGCTTGGCATTAAGAAAACAAGAACAACTCCGTACCATCCACGTGGCAATCCCGTGGAAAGGTTCAATCGGACACTTCTCGAAATGTTGGGCACACTTGAGGAAGGAGACAAAACCAGATGGAAAGAATTTGTACAGCCTCTTGTACATGCGTACAATTGTACTAAAAATGATACCACCGGTTTTTCCCCTTACCAACTCATGTTCGGCCGTCAGCCTCATCTTCCTATAGACATAGCTTTTGGCCTTATCACAGAGAGCGGTGTGCCAAACTTTCCCATTCTGAATATGTGAAAAAGCTTGCAGAAAGTCTAACTGAAAGTTATCGGTTGGCTTCTGAACACAGTCAAAAACAGGCAATCCAAAACAAAAAAAAGGTTTGACAACAAAGTGAGAGAGTCCACTTTGGTAACTGGCGACAGAGTCCTAGCAAGAAATGTAGGTCTCAGAGGCAAACACAAAATAGCAGATCGTTGGAGTGAGACTGTATACACTGTTGTAAAGCAAATACCTGACTTACCTGTTTATGTGGTCGTCCCAGAAAATGCAAATGGGCCTGAGAGAGTCCTACATCGAGATTTACTGTTGCCCTGTGGATTTCTACCATCTACCACTGAGGAGGTGAACTCTACAAATCCAAAGCCCAAACCAATCCAAAAAGAGTTGCAACAAACTAAACATTTGCAGTCTGATGAGGAAATAGACTTGGCTGACCTGGAAGATGGAATTCAGTACTACTCTTCTTATGACAAACCATCACAAGTGACAAAGGATGGACAAGTAGACAGTGAACAGAGAGAGACGGTGCAAACAAACAGTGAACAAGGAGACACATCGCTAACAGACAATGAAGCTCCGAAAAACATCTTTGATGAGGTGTCAGATCACGATTTTCAAAATGTATTTGAACAATCTGAAAGTGAAAGTTCAGTTTCATCTCCATTGAACCCAGAGGCTATAGAGTTTCAACCACTATCACCTCAAGAAGTTGAACAAATCAAGGTCACTCCTGTTCACCAAACTGTTGAAACTGTTGATCCCCCAAAATCTCCTGCTGGCACTCAAAGTGGCCACAGTAGTCCCACAAGTGAAACGCAAAATGTGACCGACGTTGCAGATGGAAATGAGCAACCAAGCCCAGAAGATTCCAACAATGAGACAGGGCTGAGAAGGTCTACCCGAGAACGAGTAGCTCCCAGAAAGTTAACTTATCCCACTCTCGGTAGCCCACTAATGACCGTAATGCATTCTATTCTATGGGGATTAGACCAAGCCCTATCTGAGACTTTTACTTTTGATCCTGTAGCCATTAACTCTCTAACTGTTTAAAATAGTGTTATGTGCAACATGCAAGGATGCATGCTGATTTAGGGGGGGAGGATGTAACCCACCCAAGTTTTACTTGTTGAATTGGAAATGTGTTCCTTTAAATTTCATTCAACTATGCAGTGTCATATGCGCCCAGTAGACGGTGCTGTGGGTTTTGTTGCAAAATGCACAATCCATCAAATTGTAAAGAGTTCTGGAGAGAAATTGTTCTGTGAGTGTGCATTGCTAGCTCAATTTGTTTTCTACCTTGACTTAACTACATGATCACTTATTATACATGATTCAGAGAATGTATGCAACTGGAGTATACTGATATGAGCATGTGCACTGCTAGTTGTTGAATACTGCGCATTGTGTACTACAAGCTACTGTAATCCAGTTAAAAGTAGTTCGAAATGATTTAAACCAGATCTGAATTTGTGCTTTGCTTTGCCCTGCTTGTGCAGGTTTTTTTTTGTTGACCCGAATTGACCTGGGACTGTTCGCTGTGAGGCTGGAGTCACTGGATCCAGGACCTGTGGACCTGCTGGACGCCTTGACGTCTCTTTCTTGGTGGACCTGGCCTTCATTGCAGTACAGTTGAATTAAACTAAGATCTTGTGCACCAACGAAAGAAAGAAACAAAAAATCATACTACCCGGGTAGATGAGACAAAATAGTTTTTTTTTCAGAGCTCTGAACTTTTTATTTTTGAAAGGACAAATTGTTGGACAAAAGGACTGATTTATGTAGGGGTAAGCTGGTAATATTTGGGGAAGAATATTGATTCTGTTCAATAAATTTTACACACTTTTCTCATTTCAACCTACAGTCTAAATTTATTACACCTTCTTTCCTCCTTTAGAACCTAGATTGCTGGGTACACGTATCATTCATATCTTACTAGTTCGTTTGGTACAGGTTACATATAATTTTAGTCCTGGTTCAGATTTAGTGGTGCTACAAACGCCAGATGTTTTGTTAGGCGTGTAAAGGTTTGACTGCCTCTAGACAAAATAAATGCCATGTCAAAATTGGAAGGTGAGTTTAAAATAGTAAAACTCAACAATAACTTTGCTTTGATTTTATTCCTCTTCTATAAAGAACATTCTGTGAAATATGTGTAATTTTGGATGATTTTAGATGAGAGGTCAAGAATGTTATCAATGCACTTTAAACCAGTTTGGTGTCGGAAACATTATTGCATTTAACTGTTTTTAAGTGTATGAAGAATCTTAAAATGTAAATATTTGTGTCTTCCAGAGATCTCCGTTCTACCAGATGCTGAGAGCTGGCTGGCCCGTGAGTAGCTCAGACTTGACAGTTTTTTGAATCAGTAGCTCTGTATTTCAACTGTTTTTGTTCGTCCAGGTGATGCCCGGACCTCCAGGACCTCTTGGGCAAATGGGCAAACCTGGTCCACCTGTAAGTTTCACACTATCTGTTTTATGTAAAGGACACATACTATGCTATTCTCTGTTCTGATTCACATTATGATGTTGTTTCCTCATCACAAACAGACCTGGAGTTGTGTTTTGTTCCATTCACACATGTTTAACACACAAATCCTGCATATTTAGGCTGAGTTCTTCTCTCATGTGGAAAAAGCTCTGTTGCATCTTCTGGTGTCATGTGGCAATACAGGAAGTGCTCCACTGTGTTTTTAAACACCAAACACCTTCACGAGAAACATTTGGATGTTTTAGTCCTGGAATTCACTATCTCTACCGAACAAAAGATAGCTCTTCACCTGAAAACTACTGCTTCATGACATCACAAGGTGGACCAGAGCATTTTGAGCTTTGGAGATGTAGACAGACAAACACAACATGTTTCTGAGGAGGTAACAACATTATAACACGACTAAAAGCTCAGAGTCAATTTTGCACAATATAAGACTTTTAAAGGTTTTAACCAAAAATGTTAGCTTACTTTCATTTTTATTTTAGTTGATTCATGCATGTTTGGGTAATCTTGGGTTCAACTCAGAAAATTTCAGTTTTCACCTACCCTCTGTCTCCACCCACTTCTCTGTGAATACTTACACTTGTTTGAATAGTTAAAATTCCAAGTGATACATGTAGAGTTCAAAAATGTCACATGGCAGAAATATAAACTTGTAAAATAATGAAAATATGTTGGTTGCCATGGTGAAATTCCACTAAGAATAGCCGGGGCTTCTCAGTTCTGCAGCTTTGAACAGAAAGTCAATAGGTGAATTTTTAATATGAAGCTATTTTAGATCAATATTGTGATTTACAATGAACAAAATGTAAAAAAAAAAATCTACTTATATATAGTTATAGTTCAATACTAAATGCCTGAAAATATCATTCTACAGTATCTTAATAGCATAATGTCTTTTTAACTATAATTGCATATAATGTGTGTACAGTACTCTATATGGACAAAGAAAATAGATCCACATTTGGTACATTATAATCACAGCTTTATATAATGAATTTGTGTATTTAAAAATAACTTTATGCCACTTTGCTTTGTTTTCTTATCTGATACTGAAATCCATGTACATTTAGAAGGTAACCATTTCAAATACCTTCTTTTTTACTTGCAAAATTCAAATCTCATAAATTAGATATACTTTGCACCATTCTTTGCAGTTTATAAAACTATGCAATAAATTAAATGAAAATGGAAAAAAAAACACCACTTAATCTTTATTTTTCTAACAATATTAGTGACCTATTTTGTGTTTAGGGTATTCCTGGAGAGCCTGGAGACAGAGGAATGCCTGGACAAAGAGGAGACATGGTGAATATTTTAATCAGAAAAGCACACGTGTAGTTTTTCTGAATTTGTTGCATTAAAGGTGCATTGTGTAACTTTCCTGGTGGAGGGTCTGTCATCTGCTTGTCTCTATGGAGATGTTGTTCTTTCATCTGGAATGTCCCTGTGTGGCATTAAACAATCCATCCATCTTGCATTTACTCAATAACATGTGTTTTTATTGACTTAAAACACATGTAGCCTCACCTGCTGTCTCCCTGTGGATAAATAAGCGTAATGCTGTACTGTGGAACATTCTAGTCAAAATCTCCATGGAAAGAGGTTGTGACTTAACCTACACCAGAAAAGTTACACAGTGCACCTTTAACAGTTGCTGTGTTTAGGGTCACCTGGGGCAAAAGGGTGTGCTTGGTCGGGCTGGGCGATGGGGCACCTGATGGGACCCCAGGACTGGACGGAAGGCGGGGTCCTCCTGGTTTACGTGGACTCAAGGTGGGAATTCAGATTTTTGCATATTTTACTCAGGGCTGATTGGTTATAAAATTCTTTGTTTTTCATAGGGGCAAAGAGGTTTTAAAGGGGACGATTCTCCAGAAGGGGAAAAAGGAGACATGGTAAGAAACTTCAGGTTTTAATTCTTAAGAATTAAAAAAATAGTACTACTACATAGTACTACAGGTTATAAACTCACAAACATCTGATTCATGTTTGATTTCTAGACCTTTAAAGGGACAGTTCGGAATTTTGGACATAGCGCCTCATTTCCTAGTGAGCTAGAGACCTGTAGATGTGTGGAGGTACTTTTTGAAATAATCCATCCAGTACTTGTATTTGGAGAGGTTGCTGGTGCTAGGGTTAGAGGTAGGGTAAGGGTTAGGGTAAAACCAACCTTGCATTTGAAGGATTTATGTCTGAGCAGCAGCAGTGAGTTGTATTTCCTGATAGCTTGGTAGCGGCTGACTGATATCACCTGGCACCTGTCTTACTGGCTCTATAATAGTTTGTTTACCTGCAGCTGCCATAGCAGCACATAGAGCACATGAAGATGCGTGTTCCAGATATGGCCATGTTCGGATTGTCGGGCTACGGCTGAGCTGAGCCCCACAGCGCGGAGCTCTGCGGCCACCTGATAGCCTACGCCTGATTTACCATGTTGCCACATCGTTGGTTTGTAATCCACTGATCGATCCAACTGTAGTAGAACTAGCTACAACAGGTCTCTCGCGACTCTATTTTGAAGTGAATTGCATTACATCACAACTAACTAGTGCAGAGTAAAATTCCGCTGTTGCTGAGAAAATAGTACATATATTTAAGATACAAGGTTAGTTTTACTTCTAAAATTATTCTATTGACACAGACATTCTTGTGGGTGGAGTGGGTAAGACTGTTTGTAGTGCAGACCAACAGTGACCGTTGACTTGCTCTAGCCTAACACCAGCGACCTCTCCAAATACAAGGACCGGATGGATTATTTAAAAAAGTGTCTCCGCACATCTACAGCACTCTGGCTCACTAGGATTTCAGTTGGTAGCTGTGGCATAAGCTTACTTAAAGAGCATGTTAACTGTGCGTAATCAGAGGGATCATGAGGAAGAAATCAGATGACAATGTTGTTTACTTTTAATATGAATAGTCTTTTAGCTAAACAAATCTGAAAATAATTAAATTTTTGAGGGTGCATGTAACCACTGGCTAGTGGTTACATGCACTGTCTAGTGATACTACAATATTTTAGCCTCATGTACTAGTAGTTCAAAAACAAGCAATACAATATATGACTTTTTCAATTTTTTTGAAAAGGAAATAGTTTGTTTTAATTGTGTCACCAAATGTTAAGATGTAAAAGAATCTGATCATTGTCTGATTTCTGGAGTTATCAGGTTACTGAAATGCCATACAAATTTTTCCATGTGACGTGCTTAATCTCTTTCTGATTGTGAGTAATTTCTTTTCTAATTGTTCACATCTGTGCACATGTTAAAGATTTAGTGATTTAAAATTCATTGTACTTTGTCTTCCAGATAGCTCCTAAAAAGCCTTTGATTAACTGATACGGGTTAGCACAACAAAATTTATCACATTTTCTACCAGATTTTCAAATTTGTACAGTCCATGTAAAGGTCCATGTAAAGATAGATATTCACGTTATAATTTACTTACTTCTGAATTGCAAGTGCCACTGCGTGCATCTGTCCTATGTAACAGGTTGTAATAGCCCTCTAAAGTGCATATGTGTGAGAATGCAGTTTTAAAATATTTTTTTTCTATAATTAGTCTAATAATTGTAAACAGATGCATATAGCCCTGTAAGATTATATTGTTGTAGCACCTCTTTTATAGGTCCTATATTACAGGAAATTGATTCTTGTGAGGTTTAAGCCATGTTAGAATGTGGTTACCTCATCAAAAACAGACCTGCAGTTATGGTTTGTTTTATTTGTTCATGTTTGAGCTTCATTATTAGTCTGTCCACATCTCCAAAATGCTCTGTTCCACCTTGTGATGTCATATAGTTGTAGTTATCAGCTACCTTTTATTTATTTATTTATTTATTTATTTATTTACTTATTTATTAGTAGAGATTGGCAGTTCCAGGGTTGAAGTGATCCAAATGATTCAACTGATGGTATGGAGTTTAAAAACACAGTGGAGCACTTCCTGTATCACCACATGATATCACTAGGGGGACCTGAGTGTTTTCTATTTGTTATGGAGTAACTGGCCTAGATATTCAGGGTTTGTGCGTTAAACATGTGTGAATCAAACAAAATACAATTCCAGGTCTGTTTTTAATGAAGAAACAACATTATAACATTGATCAGAAAGTGTAACTTTAACACACTCCTGAGACCAAACAGGACAGAGGTGAAACAAAAGACTCTGAACTCATTACGTCCCAAGGTGTGCACTCATAAAAAATACTGTGCCAAAAGTGTCTTATATGTCACATATATGTGGGCCATCACAATATATCAAATTACAAGTCTCTCTGCTTGAATTAATAGTTGTAGTGCACCAATATAGCTAAAAACTGAGGAAACTACATAGACCATGATCCTTTGCTCTGTTTTAGTGCTGATTACATGGAGAAATAACTGTTATATAAGCACTTTGGTTGACAGAACCAAAGTCTTGTCAAGATATTTTAAAAGGAAATAGTAGCATATTCACAATTTTGTTATCCTCCAGAAAATATCGCAACAAATATTGTACAATGAAATGTATATTAAAGTGTCCTACCCCAAGCAAAACTGACTTGCGCTTGTTTCTGGGGTCACAGGGTTTCACCGGAGAGCCTGGTCCAAGCGGAGACAGAGGCAGCTATGGGGAAAAGGTTGGTGCATATTATTGATTATGATTAGTAATAAAGCAATGGCCTTTTCAATTGTAACCTCAGCACAAGTTGAAAAATGTTGCCCTCTGGTGGTGAGACGAATTAGTCACAACTACAACTGGATTTGGCTGGATTTCAAAGTTGTCAAAAGTCTAAAAAAATCTGTTACTGATGGATATTAAAAACTAGTATCGAAGCTAGATCCTCTTTTCAGTATTGATATGAAAAAGTCACATTCAAATGAACCTTTCCTGAATAGCTTTAGTATAATCTTGAGCTGTATCAGAACAAGTATAAGGGCACATAGACTAGTATATGCCCATGGACCACTATGGAAACTACCGGGACCACTGAGGGATTACACTGATATAAGACCATGTGGTAATATAAAACAAAGTACTGCGATTTTATTTTATTTTATCTTTGCCTTCGGTGGCAAGTTTGAATATGATACATTTATTTTCTTAAGACTAGGTGAAAATGTGAATGGGCAGCAGAATTACCAAGAAAAGTGCAGAAATAAAATGTAATACCCTTGTTTAAAAGAATTTATCGCATTATATTTCTACTTTTAACTTATTTTTCCAGCCTTTATATATAGCATTTTTTGTTGTTTTTGTTATTTTAGTTATTTTTCTGTGTATGTTTAGGGTGCTAAAGGTGAACCTGGGGAAGCTGGACCAGTCGGCCCTCCTGTAAGTCATTTATAACCAACCAGCTTTTAAGAATACAATAATATATAATACATTTCATAGCCTGCTATTCAGGTATCGTGTATTGAGTGATATTTATTCTCCTTGGTTGGTGTGAGATACATTTTCTGTATTTTTGCCAGGGTTTTTTGGGTTTAAAAGGCGTTCAGGGACTTCCAGGAGCTCCGGGTCTAGAGGTGGGACATTTGTACAGTTTAAATATGAGTTGCATCTATTCTTTGTCTGAAAGAGCCTGACTTTTTATACAGGGAGAGTGTGGCTATGATGGGATGAGAGGACCACCAGGAACACCAGTGTGTAATATTATTTTCATGTTAATTTTCATGTTTATAACGCTTTTTGTAATTCTGAATTCATTATTTTGATCTGCTAGGGTGCACCCGGAGCCACTGGGGGGATTGGACGACGTGGAGTAAATGGGACAGAGGTAAAAGACAGAGGACACTTCAACAAATTCCACAAATTCGTATGTATTTCATTGTATTTATTTGCATGTGTATTTTTTTTTAATCTTTTGTTGTTCTCAGGGTGATCCAGGTCCGGCTGGTCCCAGGGGTCGATTTGGCCCTCCTGTAAGTTTTTAACACATTTATTTCTTGTTTATTTTATTGGAATCATAGATTGTATGCTTAAATGGACATAGCTAACGCACCAGCCGCCGTGTTGCAAATAGGATGTTGACTTACACTGGAATATTGTTGCTCCTCTCTCTCTAACTGCTGCAATGAGCCTCGTCACTTTGGTCTGAAAATGTTTGTATTAAACCGCTCTACATTATCCTGGTGTTTTTTCAGCTATTTTGTCCTTCATAAAAACCCTATTCATAATATAGAGCCTGGCTCCAAATTTGCTCCTGTAACCATTAGCATTGTGAGCTGCATTTGACTGGAGCCGAACGCTACGGGTGACATCACACTAGTTCACATTTTTATACAGTCTTTTGAGGTGATCCAAAAACACACAAAACATTAATAACTTTACTCTTTGTTATTATTATATATTGTGATGTGTGAGCTACTGTGTCCAATTTTCCGAATTTCCCTTGGATCAATAAAGTTTGTCCAAGTCTAAGTCTAACACAAATACAATGGACAGAATACAAAACCTGCAGGCTTACATTACAAGACACACACACACACACACACAGACAGATTTGCTCCCTCACAATTGAACATCCAATGCGATGTCACTACAAAGTATCGATTGTTCTGTTATTATATTTGTTTGATGTTTGTGTTTAGGGAGGAGGGCTTCTCGAACTACAGCCTGATCCCGGTAGAGGAGGAGTTTTCTCGGGGCCGTGGTCTGGATATCGGGGCCCACGCCTGGACCAAAGGAGATGTGCTCATGTTCTTCTGCGACGTCGACATCCACTTTAACGCAGACTTCCTCAACACCTGCCGCCTCAACGCTGCTCCTAGTGGGTCCAGACCTATGTTATCATTACAGAGCTCTTTGATAATATTGGCAGCTCTGATGAGGAAATATGTGCTGATTAAAGCGGATACAACTGTAGATAGATTTGTCAGGGCAGCTTTAATGCGCACACATTACACTATTCTGATCTGTTATTCTTCTGATATCTGTTATAAAGTGATATCCTTATCACAAACATACTTGGAGTTGTGGTTTGTTTCATTCATTCACACATATTTAGGTTGAGTTCTTCTCTCAAACAGAGAACACCTTGTGATGTCATGTGGTAAAGCAGGAAGAGCTCCACTGTGTTTTTAAACTCCAAACAACTTCACTAGAATCATTTGGATAATGTCACCCCTGGAATTGCCTCTCTCTACTAAACAAAAGGTAAAAGTTAAGTTAAGCTGTTAAGTTGAAAACTACTGCTTCATGACATTACGAGGTGGAGCAGAGGATTTTGAGCTTTGGAGATGCAGACGGACTAATAATAAAGGATTACTCAAACATTTGTGAATGAAACAAAACACAACTCCTGGTATGGTATGTGTTTAAGGAGGGAATTTAAAATAAAAAAAATGAATATTGCAGTTAAAAATAAGAAGCAAAATGATAGTAAAATAGAATAAATTTACTAAAATGTAGGTAACCCAACAAACTTTTGCAGCTCAGTAGTGGTTCACATGCACACACCAAAATCAGATTATTATCTGATTTCCGGACCTTTATAAATCAATGACATGCAAACCACAAAACCTGATGTGAGTAATCAGAGGGACCGTGATCAGACAGAAATCAGATTACTTTCATCAGATTTTGCTGTTCATGTCATTTTTATAATCTGCTAAATCTGGTAATTATCTGTTTTACAGTGAGCATGTAACCGCAGCCAGTGATTCATGGAGAATGTTGAGTCACTGGAGCCACTGACATCGCATCAGGATGAGATACTTCCTTGTCTACTGTAATGTTTCACAAGTCTAAAATTTCAAACACGATTTTGATACTAAGGAATAAACTCAATACAGATTCCTATACCACGATGATAATAAAAAATACTCTTTATTTAGATAATAGAATGTTACTTTCATCATTGAATAATAGTCTTATACTTGTTCTGATGCAGCTCAAGATCATTGTAAAGCTACTTAGGAAAGGTTAATTTGTAACTTGTGACTGTCACTTTTTAAATATAATATAATAATATAATCTAGTCTAGTATCTGATTTTCTATAAGCAGCTGTGGTGAAGGATGTCAATATTAGTGGAGAGCCCTGTATCTAAGTATATATTTGTGTGTTTTTATGTTTATTAAATGCGGTCATATCATCTGATCTGTGCAGATAAAAAGGTGTTTTATCCAGTGGTCTTCAGCCTGTATAATCCTGCTATTGTCTATGGAAACTTGGAGCTGGCTCCACCGATCGAACTGCAGCTGGTAAGAAAATCACTGCAGGTTAAACAGTGTTCTTGTGTTTTTAAGTCAAATGGCTGATTAACTTTTATTTAAATGTTTTCTTTACAGATTCATAAAAAAGATGCTGGATTTTGGAGAGACTTCGGTTTTGGCATGACCTGTCAGTACCGCTCAGACTTCTTAAATATTGGTAAGTTTTGACTGTTCAGTATTTGGGCAATTATAAGCAGTCTGTACTACATTTTAAAAACTACAAATTCTGTGTCAAAAAGTAAGCAGTGTGCTGTTGTTTGCTAAAATATCAAACATAACTTGTATTGGTCTTGACATGAACAAAAGGACAACGAACAGATATGAAAAAGGAAGATGAAGCTGATGAGATTAACACACTTGACTAAACCACAAACCAGAATACCTTAAATGCACTTTTAAATACCGCACTAGAAAAACACACTTGAAAGCTTCAACATTTCTTTCCCACTCCACTGACTGAACACTGCGGTGACAGGAACATATGGTTTTCCTGATTTTTATGTCCTCCTGGGATTTTGGTAATAATATAAATTCCCCTGCACTTTTTTCTTAAACAAAAAATCAGAAAACACTATATAAAAATCAAGAGTTTAACAATAAATCAATCAATCAAATTACTCAAACATTAAAATACTGATAATAAATTAAAAGAGCCTGTATCTGATTTAAATTAATTCTAGATAAATGGTCTTTACATCAGTGTATGGTAAACACTGCTAAATTAGAAAGAAAATCTGTTCATTTTGCATAACATTTTCTCAAGTAGTAGAGTTGCTACTGACAGGCTCACTTTTTTCATCTAATCAGGGACATTGTCAGTAAGAATCGTGGGAATCCAACCGCCTCACACGATCCCACACACTTGTCATGTTGTCATGGTGCCTTTTCAAGTGTCAAAAAAACAAATAGTGGGTAAAAATTGGAGAGAGCTATTAGAAAACAATTGCATGGCACCACAGGCGGAGTTTGAGTTTTGCGCTACGGGGGACAAACATTTTATCGTACGCACTAGATTCAAGATTTAAAGTGCTTATGGCTATGTGCACAGTAAGGAAACGCCTTGCCCTGTACAATGAAATGATCACTTTACTGTCTGCGCTGTGCATTATAACTATTCTGTGACGTTACACACAATAGTTATAATGCTATTACATATACAACAGTACTGTTCAAAAACCTCCCATAAAGCCAAACAACACAGCACATCACACATGATCAGGGGTGTAGTGGCAGTGGTACATGGGGGGTACAACACCAGGACTGAGCCAGGACTAAAACAGGACTAAAACAGGACTAAACCAGAACTGAACCAGACTGTCAGGACGGACCTGGAGGTGTGCTCACATAGATTGTTGGGTGACTGCAGGAGAAAGGACCGGCGTAGAGCTTTGAGCCCCATGGGGCTAAGCGCACCCATTGCCCATTCGAGCTTTGTGGAGACCCTGCTCCACGGGCTCGGGGTTCTCCCTCTCTCTCATATCCAAGATTAGTCCTGGTTTAGACCTGTTTTAGCCCTGGTTCATTTCTGGTGTAGTCCTGGTTCAGTCCTGGTTTAGTCATGTTTCAGTCCTGGTTTAGACCTAGTTTAGACCTGGTTCTGTCCTGGTTCAGTCCTGGTTCAGTCCTGGTTCAGTCCTGATTTAGTCCTGGTTTAGACTAGGATTCATATTTATTTCATACAATATTTTTGTTTCATTGACATATTTAAAATATTAATAAATTTTTTTAAAGTAATTATTTGTATTGGCCATATTATAGACTCAACGTCGTGAAATATTTCAGCAACTGGGGGGGTGGCAGTGATGCATGGCACTATCCCAGACAGTTGTTTGTGTCATGGTGCAGTAATATAATGGTTTGAAATCAGGTACAGGCTTTTTAAAGACACCTGTGTTTACTGTTAAGTCACATAATGAAACGCTATTGGTCATAAACGTCATATTACAAAGTGCTGACACACTTGGGTCCCTGTGGCTCTGGTTGTCTCATTCGCTGTTGTAATGTCTTGTCTCTCACATTTTTCAGGTGGTTTTGACCTGGAGGTGAAAGGCTGGGGTGTAGAGGACGTACATTTGTATAAAAAATACCTGCGCAGTGACGTGATCGTGGTGCGAGCTCCGGTCTCCAGTCTTTTCCACCTTTGGCACGAGAAACAGTGTGCAGACGAACTGACCCCTGAGCAGTACCGCATGTGCATCCAGTCCAAAGCCATGAACGAGGCCTCCCACCCTCACCTGGGCATGCTCGTGTTCAGAGAGGAGATAGAAGCCCACCTCCGGAAACAGGCTTTCAAGACGCAGAGCAAGAGGGAGGAGTGAGATGAGAAATGAAAACTACGCTGTAAAAATAAATCAATAGGAGGTACTTGAATTCAGGATATTAAACAATTAATTTGAGTTGTTTTGACGAATTGGTTTCAGTCAAGTTTAGTCCTGATGTAGACTTGGTTTGGTTTCTCCTCTAATCCAAATTTAACACTTTTGATATTTAATGTAGTGACGGTGGGTACTTTAATAGCCAACCAATATGTGACGGTCAACAGAAAGTTGCCCCCGTGCTCACCCCGCCACCATGATCCAAGGCCTTACACTCAGCAGGTGAGCGCGCTCATATATAGGCCACACCACACCACCGTGCACCCCCAGACACTGCAGTGTAGTGCACAATAGTCACTGAGGAAACCAATAGAACACCCACGAATGGCTCCTACATACCGGCCCCTAATTATTAATAATAATTACCCACCACCAACTACTTGTAGGAGACAAAGAGAAACCATACTAAACAAATAGAGACTTCTTGCAGAAGGCAAACTTTCGTGATTGGTCTATCCAAAATACTGATTCTTTAAGCTCCATTTGCAGCTCCCTTTTCCACAGCTTGTCCATCCTGCTGGCCACCACCGCAGCTGTCAACTCCATACAGGCGATGGTAACAGATGTAAGTGGAGCCACACGTGCCTTGCCCATCACAAATACGCAGTAAGCTCTGCCACTGATGTCACGGAGTAACAAATAGGTCACGGTTCCAAAACCCTCCTCACTTGCGTCCGCAAAGTGGTGAAGCTGTGCAGAAGCAAGTCACCAAAGTTCATAGGTTCCGGCACTACTGACCTCCCAGTGTTCAAGGAGATGCAAATATTCCAGCCAGGCCAACCAATCCTAGCCACTGAAGGAGGCAGAGGATCGTACCACCCTAGACGTTCCTGCAAAGATCTTGGACAAATTTCTTGGCGAACAAAATGACAGGTGCTAAAAAACCAAGAGGATCATAAACTGAACTGATGACTGACAGGATTCCTCTTCTCATCAGCGGACGATTTTTGAGTGTGATCTTGAACTTAAACAAGTCAGACTGCACGCACCAGTGCATGCCCAGAGCTCGCTCTATAGGCAAGACCTCACTGTCTAAATCTTGATCTTTCACTTCTTTGGCTCTCTCTTCAGGAGGAATAGCGGAAAGAACTGAGCGCCGATTACTGACCCATTTTGTAAGCTCAAACCCACCTTTGGCACACAAAGCTCTAAGTTCTTGACATAAAGCCATTGCTTCCACTCAGAGGCAACAGACACCAAAGCAATCATCAACATAAAAATGGTGCACAGAGTACTGACAGTCGCCTGAAATAGTCATGATCACCTCAGCACAACCTCCGAAGAGCAAAAGAGGCACAGCTAGGAGAGGACATAGCACCAAACACATGTGCTACATTCGGTATTCCGCAAGCTCCTGACTGCAATCTCCGTCAGGCCACCACAGAATCTCAACAAATCACAGTCTTCAGCTGGCACCCGACCTGGTGAAACATGGCCTCAACATCAGCCATAAGCACGACAGGTTCCTCATGAAATCTGGTGAGGACATCAACCAACAGGCTAGTAAAGTCAGGACGCTGAAGAAATTGGGAGTTCAAACAGGTGCCTTGAAAAGTTCCGCAGACAAAGACTGCAGCTTTTTTTTTTTGAGGGTGGTACACACCATGGTGAGGTACGTACCATACCCTCCCCATCATGAGCCAAATGGAACTGTCAGTAAACCTGGCAGCATCCCTGACATGAATGTAACATAATCATGACGAAAAGACAAATCTGTCAAACGTTTCTTAAGACTCTGGCACGCTGTCTCAATGGTTTTATGTTCCATGTTGAGGGCTTTTTCTCTCATGGCAAAGCAATGCAATATGGCCATTCACTAACCTGACTGACTCCGAGACAGACTCCATAAATTGTCCATCTTCTTTGGATAGGCCAGTTCTTCCTGTTTTGTTTCAGGGAAGTCAACCTTTAGCTGGTTTTCCAAAGTCATCCAACTTTGCCACGAGATCCGATTAATTGACATCAGGTTGCAAGTCCTCAACACTGGCATGACATACTCCTCTTAGCGGGCCATTCACGTCCAACCAAGGATGGTTTTAATGGCATAAGGACCTCCACCCTCTGATCGCACAACCTCCCACGGCTCCAGTGCCTGAGGTACATTGGTCCCAATCAGAAGATCCACTTTGCATTGACTCCGGGATGTTTATGTGATTTAAATGTGGCCATCGTCGAAGGTCCTTCGTATATGGAATGTTTCCCCTGTGAACAGGCATGCTCTGTTGAGTGAAGATTTCTCGGCAGTCACAAAAATGGTCAGAGCCAAGTCAGCTACTTCCAGGTCGGTGAGCATGTAACTGTCCAACCTTTTCCTGTCCCATGTCCAGGGTGAGGTTCAGTCTGTCATGAGCCGCTCGTGCAAATGAAGCAGTGCTCCCTGGATCTAAAAATGCATATGTCAGCAAAGTCTCATGCCCTCTTTTGTACTTTACCTGGACAGGCAGGATTGATAATGTACAGTTCTGTTTTCCGGCCCCAGTTAACCCACTAGATTGAACAGACACCACAGCGCCTTCTCTGGCCTCCTCTGAAAAGCTACTTGTCTGTGACAAACTACCTTGTCTAGATCTGGAGTGAACATGCAACAATGTGGGGTGCTTACGATTGCACACTCTACATGTCAGACGCTTCCTGCAATCTCGACTTCTGTGCCCAATGCACAAACAACCAAAGCACAATTTGTTTTCTTTCACAAAAGACATCTTTTCATCTTGAGTCTTCTTATCCAACAGAAGGCAAACATCCAACGCATGACCAGCTCCACAAAATAAGCAAATTTTTACAGGCAGGTTCTCTCCTTTATTCACAGGGTCATCTCTTTCTGTCGGCGTTACTGTAGTGGCAAAACTACTACTTTTGGGTTTTAGACTGGTCTGAGGAGTCACAGGTTTGAAGTCCCCTTTTCTTGTCCCTGGGGAGTCCTGTATGTCCCCAAACAGAGGGTCACTTACGATCTTCACTTGTCTCTCGACAAACTTTACAACATCGTTGAATGTGGCTCTACGAGAAAACCTTTCCTGAATATCACAGGCCACATTCCTCCAGTGGTCCCTTAGCTTATACGGCAACTTCTTGATGATTGTTTGCATGTTGGTAGGAACATTCAGGTCTCCCACACAGTCTCCCATAGAATTGCAGCACTCACGGAGCAACAAACCGTAGGCTCGAAGCGCCTCCACGTCCTCACCTTTCACCACAGGCCAGGCCAGCACCTTCCCCATATATGCAGATGCCACTTTGAATGGGTCCCCAAAATGTTCTTGAAGCAGACTCTTAGCTTGAATGTACCCACAAGCAGGAGGCAGGTGTTGGCAGCTTCGGACCAAATCCCTGGGCTGACCTCGAGTATACTGTTCAAGGTAATATAAACGGTCTTTGTGGTTTTGAGTTTTGGCTTCAATATTGTGCTCAAAAGCACTGATGAAGGTCTGATATTGTAAAGGATCTCCGTCGAAGGTATGCAAGTCCCTCTTGGGCAAGAGAAAGAGTGACTGTTGTTTCAACCAACAAGGATGTGAATCTCATTTTGTTTCTCTAGAACCGTAAGTAAACGCTGATCAGATGTGTTCTCTGTTGTAAGTTTGGGTGGATCAAGCTGGGTGAGTGGAACATCTCGATATACTTCACTGCTGGGTAGCACTGACAGACCGGCCCCACTAACAGCAGTTTGGAGCTCAGCCTGGTAACTAACCTTAGGCTTTGTAGCAGCAGAACCTGAAAGCAGAGCACTCCCCGCGGGCTCTGTCTGTGATGACTGGGTGGTAAATGCAGGCACATATGTAGGAGCATCTACATTTAACTGACCAGTCTTGGTTCTCTTCAAATAGGAATTCATCTCATCCGATGTAGCAGAAGTGTGAGATCCTTCTGAGGCCTTAAATACACTTATTCTGGCCATAGAGGCAGCCAACTCCATGTCCAGATCAAGCTCCTCTTTCTTCCTCCTCAACAGCTCCTGCTGCTCCTCCATTTTCCTGCGCAGTTGCTCCTGCTGCTCCTCCAGAGCATGCTTCTCTCTCAGAAGCCTCTGCCGAGCCATAAGAGCGGCGGTCTCGGCCTCAGCCTTCAGTCTGGCAGAGGACGTGGAAGACACAGTGGAGGACACACACTTACTCACCACCGTGCTGCGCTTCTTTGATTGATTGGATACATTAGAGACACTATCACTCGGCCCGATTTCCTCAGCTGTATTTTCCAAACCCCTTCGTGCGCCTACACCACTGCCATTGGCAGAGGTGGATCTACAGATGGAGCAGATGTTCAATGGCGCCCTCTGCCAGTCTATGGGGACATTCGAAACAGCTGGCACCTCCAGGAGCCATTTATTTGTCTCCTCCACAAAGGTACTTTTATGCTCCTCCACGCTATCAAACCACTCGTTTTGTTTATTTTGTTCATCAGGAGGGAGCATAGGAACAACTAGATCATGCAGCCGACAGGCCTCACTGTACAAACTGGACACAATCTCAAGACATGATCTTACCTTTTCAACATTTGCAGGATTTTTCTTCAGCTCTGTAATGTCCCTTATTGAACTTTTAATCCTTTTCACTTTTGCTTTTCTTTCATCTTGAAGCTTTTCCACTGTATGTTCCAAGGCTTTGGGAGTGAGTTTTGATTGCCTCTTAATTGTTTCATTTCCAACATTTGACCTGGAATCAGTCTCCATTTTCATTCACAAAATCACAATAATCACAAAAGTCTGCACTCACACACAACACAGCGCTTATTTTTATTTTCTTATTTACTTTTATTATTTTTTATTATTTTATAAGTTTTATTAAAACGGTACAAGTTGCTGAAAGAAATCTTATTCCCCCTAACTATCCACCGGCGCTAAGCTAACTCAACCCTAGTCTTCTGCACGTACTAGCGGTGGGTTGTTATGTACCTCGATATACCGATAGACTGGAACCAGACAAACTGTCTCAGAACCAGAAACGGCGGCACTCCCAAGCGCAATGCTTCACCCGCTTGACGCACAAGCGAAGCCCTAACCGGGTCCCAGAACAACGCGAAA